AAAATTTTAATTAAATTTAAATTTGCAAACTTACACATAGTTGTACATTATTGAAAATCTATTTTGCCGGCTGCATAATTATAGTTATTAACAATTATAATAAATTATAACAATATAGTAATAATTAAAAATTTTGTGTTCTCTTTAAAATTTGTGAGTTAAACTCATTAAAAATATAGAATACTATATACTGTATAAGTTTGTACATTTAAATTCAGTTAAAATTTTTACAAAATATATAAAAATAAAAATATATATATGAAAATAAAATTTTACAAAATGTATAAAATAAAATATTATTTCAAAAAGGATTTTTATTTTGTCCTTCATCAATGAGAATTCATGTTTGATTGCATCTAATACTTATATACTTTTTTAAAAAAAATTAAAAAGAAATTTAAAAACAATAAAAAAAACTCAAGTAAATATGTTAGTAATATGTATAATAAAAAATAAGTATGCTACATGAATATATAAAAATCGTTAATTAATTTATTACATTAATTATGTACGAAAGCTTACCCTTCCTTACTCCTTGACATATATATTTATATATAAACATATAGTTCATACATATGATGGTGTATGAGCAACCATAAGTGGCTTTTTGTCGATTTTATTATTTGCTAGCTAAGGTGAATGCATGTCAGACCCGCTGGTTAATTTGTCCGGTGGGAAATTTAACAGTTGGAAAATCATATAATTAAGGAAATCAATGAAAGCCATCTTAATTAACGTTGTCCCACTCTTTGATGAAAAGAAAAAATATATATTTTGCGAAAATAAGTAAATATGACCCATTTTTGAACCTAAACAAAAATATTATATTTCACTTACTAATAATTTATAGTATTTTTATAAACAAAATAAACATATAAAAGATTATCTTTTATTAAGATTAATATAAATTTTAAAAATTAGGACCAAATTATAAATTTGAGAGTTACAATTAAAATCAATAAAGTGGAATGAATGTTAAATAGTATGATTAATGTGTTTGATGTTAATAATTATCTTATAGAAGACACCATAATTGGAAATAAAATATTTTGTTGAATAAAATATAATTAATTTAATACAATGTATATATACATATATATATATATATATATATATATATATATATATATATATATAGTAGAGGTAAGTGGAGGATTAAGGCAGTAGATCCGAACATCTAACATGAAAAGGATCGAAGGTGACCCCCAAACATGTGAAGACAGCTCCGGCTTTTTATAATTCCCAATTATAAGTATTTCTTTGAAGTTCCTAACATTTTCCCTTTGCACCTTCTTGATTCTATCATATTTCTGCATAAATATATATGTATATATAGATACTATCTTCATTTTCATCTTTATTAATTAATAAAATTTTATTTTCATACTTTAATATGGTATCAAAATATTAAAGTATAAGAGCCAAATTCAAATACCAAGGAATTTAGTTTACAAGTCCATGAACCTCTTTATATATTAATAAATTAAATATATTATATATTTTTACTAATACATATAAGATTACAAGAGATAATTATATTTCATTAGTATGTTAAATATATTCTTAAATATATTAAATAGAATAAAATATTAAAATTTTCAATAAGTTATTCACATAATTTATCAAATTCAATTTTATATATTTCGCATTTATTTAAATTTATTCATTTATTTTTTTAAAAAAAATTTGTAACATTCTCTTTCTTGCACAAGTTTTATACATCTGAAGTCATAGTGACCTTAGAATACCTACACATGATAGGGATAGTTTACGATGATTTGAAGTTCGAAAATGTACTAGTAAAATTCGACAGCTATATTTTGTTAACTGACCTTGATCCCTCACTAAAAGGCAATAATACTAAATCAAAGATCCACATAATTTCCAATCAAAATGCATCATCAATCATAAAAAAATAAGTTATTATCATAATGATCAACCCAACTTTTCTAATTCATCATGCATTCTATCCAAATGTATCACACCTACAGTAGTCTCTTACTTTCATCCTAGTCAACACAAACAAAAAAAAGGCAACACATTGTGCTGTGGAAATCATCACATAGTCAATTGATGTCTGATCAATGTCTTTTGTTGGGACCCACGACTTGTAAAGGACATGAAAATAGTTTGATGATCAAACATTAGCTAAAAGAATCGAAAATGTGACTGAAATGTTACTATTTGCTAATCGAATTCGGTTACACCACTCAAATTTTGAAAATTCATATAGTCTTCAATTCTAATGGTAATCATATAGTTTTAGTATTATGAAATGCTTACAATGTAAATAAAATAGTTTGGTAGCCAAAAATTTGCCGAAGAAATAAAAAAATGTGGCCAAAAAGTTAATGCATGCTAAGTACATTTTATAACAGTACTTTATTTTTAAAATTTGTAAGTTCTTTAATTCTAGTCCAAAATTATGCAATCTTCGTTTTTATGATAAGTTTATAATATACATGGATAAACTAGTTTGATAACCAAAATTTAGGCAGAAAATCACAAATTGGCGAAAAACTCTAGTGTTGTAGTGTTCACAATTTTTTGAAACCATAGGCTTTTGAAATTTCGAAAGATTTTCAATTCTAATTTGAATTGTACAATTTTAATGTATATGGAAGATTTATAATATGTAAAACAAATAAATATAAGCTTAGTGGGGTTTCACTTTTGGTTCCTTGGTGGCATTTTCATTTATTATCTTGCAATTATCTCTCCGGTGAGACCTTTCTTTATTATAGAGTAAATTATTTTTCCTTTTGAGATATAAACCAAGCAAAAAATATGATGGCTATGCAAGCTATAAAATACAAATATGATAAAACATTTATATTTACACTAATTAGGCTTGATAATCTTACAATTTTATTTGTTGAGGTGTCAATTTTAGAAACTGTATAATTTTAATTTTAAAAGTATTTTTAATTGAAAATTGATAAAAATTCATCAAATAATAATCATTTATAAAATTTATAGTTAATGAAATTAATAAAACCAATTTCTCTCATACCAGTTTGTAATTAGAATTTTTTTTATAAAATTTTAATTTATTTAGTTAGAATAGGATGATATTGTATCAATATAATAAAGGTTTTAACTGAATTACGAAAATTCACTATGTTTATATTTTGCAATTAAATTGTGAATAAAATAAGTTATGTTTTCAAACTTTTAAAAAATGTTAAAATTATTGCAAAAATATAAAATTTATCATTGACTTCTTTCTGCTGTTTATACCCTGATAAACTAATACCTGTACTCTCTATTGTATTAAAGGGTATATCAGTCTTTTTATTTAATTAAATGTATTTTATTTATGCAGTGAACATGAACTGATGTATATATATATATATATATGTAGAAAAGTTTTGTAAAGCTAGAAAATACAAAAAAGATTAAAATAAAGATGTATGCTAGTAAATCTAAAGAGGTCAAAGTGTAATTGCCAATAATCACATCAACCTTTATAGAAACAGCAAAAGCACACACACATATATACATATATATATATATGTTATAACGCTTATTTTACAGTCAATCTGTGCAAAGATATGGCCGCTCTGCCCACAAAGTGTTGCAAGCGGATGGAAGTTTTTTGCACCCCAAATTAACTTGAAATTTTTTTTTTAAAAAAAAATTACATTATTTTAATTACAAAATTAGTTCATAATTAATTATTTTAATTATAATAAAAATATGTATGTACTATGCAACATTATAATTTATTTGAAAACAAAAAAAAATCAATATTTTCATCATTAATTTGTACGATTAAATAAAGTTTTGAAAATCAATAACAAAACTTCTTTCATATAGAGGGAAGCAGAGAATCCAAACCTAGTTTGACCCATTAGATCTATTGAGAAAAAGAAAATATACGTATACCTCCATGTAACATATAGATATATACTATATTTATGCATAGGAATAAAAGAAAAAGAGAGCTAAGTACATATCAAGTGACAACAACAGCAAAAAGAACCCATCATCTTAAAAGAAAAAAAGAGAACACATGCAGCCTACTGTCAAACTTACAACTGATCAGTGTAATGAAAAAATACTTGGGTGTTTTATGAAATAACCATAACGCGCCGGATCAAAACATATATAGTTAACCCTAGAGGAGTATAAAGAAGAAGAAGAAGAAGAAGAAGAAGAAGACAACGACGACGACGACGACGATGATGATGAATCAGATGGAGGAGGCAGATGAAGGAATGAAGAAGAAGGTTACGGTTTTATATAGGGCTGAAAGGGTCTTCTAGGGCAACACAAGGCATTGGTCGCAGGAGTACGGGCAATGGGCAGGAAGGTAATGCAAGGGGCCTGGTGTTGCGGGCAGCTGCCCAAACATTAAAGAAATATGCAACTTGTGCAAGTTGGCAAATCTTGTTATTATTTTCACGGAGATTTATTTCTAAAGTTGTGTTAATTTGCACGATTTAAATGGAAAAGAAATCCGGATATTAAATAAATAATTTATTTTTTTAAAAAATAATAATTTATTATTTTTCATCAAATTTTAACAATTGCTCTTTTGAAATTCTAACATTTGGTAATTATATGATTTAGGATTTATTAAAGAAACAAAATTTTAGGCACTTCTGTTTAACATCACCAGAAATCCTATTAACACAAATACTGAATAAAGCATATTAACACGAAAACAAAAACACTAATTTAACATTTTAAAATTTTCAATTAATTTTCAGAAGGTATTATCATCATTGGCTCAATTCAATTTCCAATTTGATTCAAAGGGAATAGCTTACTGATTACATGGATGTTGATTTTCTTTTCTGATCATAAATTTTCCTATAAAATACACGTCGCCATCAATCATTCAATAATATTCCCTATATTCATTCCTTTTTTTTCAAATAAAATATTTCATTCTACTAATATATATATATATATATATATATATATATTTCTTCACTTACTGGTATATATTGAATTTTTTTGGTCATACTCTTAACAAAAAGACACAATGAGTCTGTAAGTGACAATTATCCTTTCTGTGCATTACAAAAATCCCTCTATTAGAGGGTGACTGTTCACAGATGATATGGATTCCATTATTTTGCATAAAAGCATAGAAAAACAATACTAAGAATGAATGGGAAAATGAAGCAAAAAGTTACATATTTACATTTTTTTCCTCTTTGATTGTGTCTAAGAATTGTAGTTCGGTCATTAAACGATCATACTCTTGCTGTGAGTCTCTAATTTCACTTTTGAGCTGTTCGACCTGCACAAATATTTAGCTCAAATCGAATCAATACAGACATGCTCTCCCACAATATTTATTCTTTCCTAGAAGCATCGCTAGTGCAGCAGTTCTGCCTAAGCCATCTTAAAAACATGCAAGATCTCCAGCTATATTGGGTAAATACTAATCCAAGTGTTTGTCTTTGTCATGGATGTCTGCTTTTTGCAAAGAAATCTAACAAAAGAGTTCAAGTTAGAATAACTCTGTAATACAGAAACCACAAAGACATCGCTAGATTTTGGTGCACCTGAACACCATTCCACGCTCTCTTCTGTGCATGTAGATGACAAAACTCATTTAAAACATTTTCATAAGACACATTCAAGGAGACACAATGTAATCTTTTAGAAGTGTTAACTTCCCAAAACAAACATTCAATCCTTTATAATAATTACTGGTGTCAATATGAACTTATCAAGTACCTTAAGGTGAAGTGCTTCGCGGCTCTTCTCATATTCCAAGCATCTGATGGAAAAACAACAATAGAAACCAATTTCTGTTCAGTAAATTCAAGGTTCAGATCTTATAAGTTTATAGGTGTAAGTGATCCACTATCTCAAAGTCCGAATTAGTTTAAGATAGATAACGATGCAAAAGTAATCAGTTCAGTTTATCCGACATATAAATTCCTTTTACAAACAACCATTTAAGAATAGTCTAAAAATCAAGAGTGCAAATATTCCCAGGGGTTTGTTCAGATGTAATGAAATAAGAACGTGGGGAACTACATAATAGTTATTCTACTGATATATACTTACTTGGCCCTGAGCTTCTTATTTTCTTGCATCAAGTTAACAGCCTCTTGATCTTTCAACTGATTTGCAGTGGCATTGATAGGCTTCAAAAATGCACAAAGTTAGCAGCAGATTTTATGGGGAAAAGAGCCAGAAGGATAGGTTGAACTCAAAAAGCAAATGAACACCACAAATTACAAGTATTTGGACATTCTGGCTAATATCTCAGACATCCTCACTAAGCATAATGCAGAAATGTTGGCAGCCGAAATAAGGTAATAAACCAGAGCAAGACAAGGGACTTTCACTTGAAGAGGTTGCCCACTTCAATCAAGTCCTTGAGCAAAGTTTTAATTCTACTAAAAACAAGGCATCCGGAATTCAGACTAGAAAACTTAATTTTTAATACCATGTAAAACAATGAAGTTGGATAAGTAACTATCCCATAAGCTTGAACGAATGAGAAATAACCTAGCCTTATTATTTATATTCTAATAGAGACCAAGCATTCATAAAGAGTCTTATTTTCCTAGCACTACCAAATGAAAATGAAAGCCAGCATGGAAAAGGGGCATTAAAGAAGGCTGTATTAGGTGCATTTTGTCATAGAATCATTTAAATTAAGAAAGTAAATCGATACACTCATGTATTATATAAATAATATGCTTCAGGGCCAAATGGTTTATCCCTGGAACAAAATAGTGACACTCCAAAGGTAATTATCATTCGAACTAAATAAATAAAGTAACCACATCATCAAATTCTCCATAGTAACCTGCATTCCCAAATTCTGTCCAGGATAAACAACATTTGCTCCTTTCTCAGCTTGACCTTCCTGCTTTCCTGATTCTGGCAAATTAATGTGTTCTCTTCTTTTTGTCTGTAACCCTGTTTCAACGGAAACCGTCAAATATATCTAATAAGAATCCTCTAAAGAAATCAAGATTCACTTATTCAAGTATCTACCTTCTTCAGTTCTCTTTTTAGGGCCAGGTGCTGATTCTTTGCCCCCTACCAACTTGCGTGAGGAATTAATTGCTTGATGCTGGAAGGCCAAAGCTGCAGTGGTCACTTTTGTACCGACAATGGCAGAAGAAGTCCGTTGCTGCATACTGCTCTGTGATACAGAATGCAATGAAATCTGTCGAGTTACCGATGGCCGAAGCTTCTTTTTCACCTGATAACCAATGAGTCCACAATGATAATCCCTGTTAAAAATTAATCAAGTTTAGCAGGCCCAATTAAACATACATGCTAATGAAGTATAAAAACATCTTCTAAAGTACTTATGGACCACAATGTTAAACCACCGGAAGCAGTACAACAGCAGCAGTGTATGGAAAGATAATTAAGAGGGGCCAAATGCTCAGTACCTACCAGTATTCCCATGTCATTTCCTTTAAGCGAACTTCAACCTTCTGAAAAAGGGAAGTCCTCTCAAAATCTTGTTTGTTATGAGTTGGCTTAACAAAGTTCGCTTCTAGAACACCTAAAAAAGTAATAAGATCACTCAGCATATTTCACTTATATTTTCATGAAGCATAAAGTAACATAAATCAAATACAAGTACGTAAGGGCACTGTTTGGTCCTCACCAACCACTCCTCTGCCCCTACTGTCGGAATAGCTAACAACTTGCCAAAATGGCTGCAAAAGTGACCCAGAATTACAGAGCACGTAAAGTCAGCAATCACCGGAAAACAGAAATAGCAATGCAAAAAAAGAAAACTGGCAACATTTTGTTCTATAAAACTGAGAAAACATGGAAAAACTAGAAAGCCAAAAAAGGACATAGAAATACAGTATTATTGTTTTTCTAAAATAAAAACTAGGATATGATATAATATAACACAAGCACTAAGAGGGTACCAGCCTACGTATAAAAAGTATTTACATGTCAATCAGGAAAGGAAATCAATGAGGTCTCCAAAACCTTCTATTGTATAAAGAGGATGACCAATAACAAAAAAATCTAAGATCTGGAACCATCTATCTCTAATCTTATCAAAATTAACTTACACTATCTCGAGAGCTCTCATGTTTTTCTCTTTGCTATTGAGTATCTAGATTAGTTGGTCATTACTCCTGTTATTTGATACAGAGGAGAGAATATTTAGAAGAGTCTCATACTTATCAATTTCTCAATCATTGAGATTCCTTATAATTTCCATATGTCACTCCCTTTCTTCCCATTATCTCTTACCGACTCAAAAACCGTGCCCTGTATCTTGCAGTAGTATAGATCTATGGAAACTGATCTTTGAGTGCGGCCTCCCCAATCCAAGTGTCCTACCAAAAGTTGATTCTGCCCCAATTCCAGCCCTCTACCTGATACAATCTTGGAATTTATTCCTACTCCAGTAACTTTTTTCACATCCTCGTCCCATCCGGTCAAGCCAATTCTCTAAGTTATCACCCTCTATTCACGGTACCCAATTTCGCTACAATCACCCTCCTCCATAAGGATATTATTTTATTTCATGAATCTCCATAGTCATTTACCTTGTAAGCCATATTCATCTTTGCTAAAGATCTCAAGTCCAATCCTTCGTGAGACATTCACTTTTTGATCTCATCCCATGCCCCCAAGTGATATTCTTTCCTATCCTCAGAGTTGTTCTAAAGGAATATACACTAAATTGATTCAAGTTTTTTGACAACATTTGATGGAATTGTTAAAAAAGACATGTAATAAATCTGTAATGGCCTGAAATTTGAAATGAAATAAAATCATAAATTAAATGCGAAAGTGAAATAATAGAGTTAGGGTTTACATTTCTCACACAATAATTTAGAATATCCAATAGGGTTACAGAAATGACCCTTCTAAAAAAACAAGCGAAAATTCAAGAAATAAGTAAAAAATAAATAATTAAGTGTCCTAGAACGACCTTCACTAGCCTTTGAAGGAAGTCCGGATAGTGAACTATTCACAACCTCCTTATTGATCGGGATCTGGATTTTAGTTCTCTTAATCTAAAATAGTTAATGAAAGGGTGAGCTACACTAACTCATTAAAAATATCACACTACTCACCGATATAGAAATGAAGGTTAGTAAAAATTATAAAAAACAACTAAAGGAACTCTTAATTTAAATAAATTCATTAATCATAAATAAAATCATTTATTGCATACTTACTGTAACGAGATTTCTAAAACCGACCTGTAGAGACAATAGTTCAACAATATCATAATCTCATATTCAAGTAAGTAACAATAACAACTTTCTTTTTTATCTACCTACATCAATTCATGAGGATCCATAGGGATGTTCCCATTACGCGTGAACCATTATTCAATATTTTCAACTAACCGGCCGTCCCCATACCCCGTCCGCTATAAGCGTCAAAAATATCATCCCTCAATACCCCGTCCGGTATAAGAGTGAAATGGGTCGTCCCTATACCGCGTCTGGTATGAGGCGATGTTCACGGTAGGGTTTCCTATGTACCCAGTCCGTCCACCATCTCCCAAGATATCCAGTAAGGGTACCATTCATTCATTCACTTAATCAAAACAATTCTCGTTTACATTTAATTTTCAGTTTCACAATTTAACTGTAAATCACGCAAGACAAGCAATACATGCATCAAGAAAACACAACTGAATCATCTTACCAATTCCAGTGTATTATCATATTTTTAAAACTGTAAAATCAAACAATCAGTTAAAACACGACAAACATTAATAAACAACAAGTTCCGCTTCCATTAATAACCTGTAATTAATTATCGAAATTTTCTAAATTACGCAAAATACCGTATTATTTATAATTAAACTTCAATTCTATAACAGGAAATAAGGTGAGGGATTCTTACCCGAATCGGTGTCTGAAACACTAAACTTTCAACTGTGCCTACTGGCGATCCTTGAGTTTCCTAAATTTTCCTGCGGAGATTAAAACACGCTTTACGTATCTAGAAATACCCAAAAAAACTCAAAATCGATGTTAAAAATCTTTTCCGGCCAATTATGAAAATCCAGCACGCCGCCGCCGCCGTGCTCCGACGACGGCACCACCGCCCATAACGGTGGTTTGCCTCAGACATGTTTTCGACCAGTTTTGGCTGATTTCGGCCGGTTTTATACTCATCCCTGCGAGAAAACACGTTAGGGACTTTGGTTGGACGAAAAAAGTCGAAAAACAAAAACTTACCGACGACAGGATTTTCAAGTGTGGTGGCTCCACCGGCTCACTTTTGGGGTTGGGCATTTTTCTTCGGTCAACCTATAGAAAACAGAATGGTGAGTACAATGGTGGAAAAATCGCATGAAACGGGAATTGAAAAGGGACTTATCGGAGACGATTTTTTATTTTTTTCGCGGCAGCACCAACGGACTTTATCCGCAATTTCCGACTCATCCGACGGTCCTTTAACTCCGATTTGGCCATGGAGGTGTTCAAAATCAAATTTCGAGCTAATGGAAATTTTTTTACCTTTTTTGGCGGTCAGAGGAGGTTTTGACGCGGTGGCAGGCGGTAGGCGGGAGTCTTCTCCGGTGACTAGTTCTTCTTCTCCAACGGGGGCTAGCGACTAGGGTAGGGTTCGGTGTGAAGTGAGATATTTATATCCATCTCTCTTAAATTTGAATCATTCATCACGTTTGATCTCGACCATCCAATCGCATTTAAAGAGGAAATGAATCTAAATCGTTCATTGCGATTTGATCTGAACCGTATGATCGCGTTTAAAGAGGAAATGAATCTGAACCGTTCATCGCGTTTAATCATGACTATCCGATCGCGCCTAAGAAGGAAATGGATTCGGACCGTCCATGCACACTGAAACAAATTCGAGTCGTCCGATCGCGGGCACGTGGATTGCCAGCGCGGCCTCCCGCGTGGCACCGAGTTAGCATGCCTTGTCACACAGCGCGCTCCGCTTTGTCGAGACTGCTGATTTGATGGTCCTACATGGCGCATTTTTCATAAATTACGTTTTGACCCCCAAATTTTTGATTTTTCTTTCAAAAACATCTACCGAACCCAAATTTTTACCCATGTTTCCCAAAATTGTTTTCAATTTCATCATCCACCTATTTTTTCCTAATTTTATATTAAATAAAAATTTATAAAATTAAAAATTATATTTTTATATATATATATTTTTTTTAATTTTAAAATTAATTCCAGGCCAATTTCGGGCCCGGATATTACAAAATCGATATATTGGTCAACGTACTTTAATGAGAGTGAGTCTCCCTCTTCTGTACAGGATGTTTCCCTTTTATCCCGCCAACCTCCTCTCAAACCTCGCAACCACCAGATCTCACATTTTTATATTTAACCTCTAAAGCTAAACACCAAATACTTAATCAGTAACTCTACACTTTTACACTCATGACTCCCCCCGACCTTGAAGCATCCCTCCCTCAACTAATCTCACTATCTCGAACTTGGTTAAGTTGATATTGAAACCAGGAACCGCTTGAAAACTCAGTAAAATGCATATGAGATTAAGCATTGCCCTTTTGTTCTATTCACAAAATACTGAAGTGTCATCAGTAAAAAAATAAGTGAATTACCTCCTCCATGTGCTCACCCTCGCTCACTTTAAACCTTTAAACAAGTCAAGCTCTCTAGCTCTCTGTAACAATTTTATTCAAGACTCTCATGACAATAATAAAAAGAATGAGAGATAATGGGTCATCTTGTCAAGCCCTCTTGAGACCTTGATAAAATGGGACGAACACTCATCCACTATTATTGCAAAAGAAGTTATAATGATACAAGAGTTGATCTACTAGCACCATTTGTCCCTGAACCCAATCTTCTCAGCATATAATCAAGAAAGCCCCCGGTTACATGATAATAAGCTTTCTCCACATCCAACATGCATAAGAAATTTTCTCTATTCCTCAATAACAACTCATCCACAACCTCATTAGCCATCAGAGCTACATCTTGTATTTACCTTCCTTCCATAGAAGTATGTTGACACTGACCAACCACTTTATCCATGACCTTGGTCATCCTTCTAGCTAATACTTTCCCAACGATCCTATAAACGCTTCCAACTATAAGATTAAAGCTACATGATGTCTAACTTTGGGCTTTTTGGCTATGAGTAATTCTTTGTATTCCATGGAGGATTTATGTAACCTTATCGATTGTATGATTGACATGTAAATAAGAAAACCATAACTCATAGATTCTCTTCACCAAATGTTTCGCCCATGTGCCCGGTCTACACTTCTACCAAAAATCATCTACTGCATCGAGAAACCATGCATACTCCTCCTTGTCCAAAAAAATTGACCTTTGGAATCCTCTCCCGTTCTCTGTAATCCGTAGCCTTTCTGCCTTCTTTCCTTCGCTGCATAAATCAAAGGGTTTTCCCTCTAAGTAAAGATACCTCCAACCATACGAGTTCATGTGTTAGGATTTTGGTCGGCCAAGGCAGACGACCAAAGGCTGAGCACGGGTTAGGGTTTAGAGAGAGAGCGAGAGAGAGAGAGAGCTCTTCAATAAGAGCAAGTAGAAGTCAATGAAAAAAATTCATCAGTTGACCTAACTTGTCATAGTTGACCTAACTTGCTCATAGTCTTTGGAGCTTGGTTTATGGTCTTTTGGGTGTGGATTGGGTTATGGCTAGGTCTGTAGAGGGTGAAATCGGGTGTGAGATGGTTTATATGTAAAAAATAAGTTTGCTAACTTGATACCTCTGTCTGTTTTCTAGATCATTTTGAAGGAAAGAAATAGAAGAGTTTTTGACAGTGTTGACTAACATAAAAGATAAGTAATTTCATTATTTTGGATGTATTTTACTTGGTCATGACATTATCAGAAATGTAAATTTTAGAAATGTCATTGACATGCTAACATGATTGTAAATTTTTGTAAATGGGAGGTACCCCTTTTTTGGTATCTTGTCAATACAATCTATACATTTTTATCTCAAAAAAATAATAATAATTGACATGTAAATATCTTTTGTACATGGTTGGTATCCTCTTGGTGCTTGTAACGAATAAATACGTAATATAATTTTCATTCAAAGAAAAAAAAAGAGAGTTGCTCCCAACTAAGCTAATAGATCTAAAGTCTCTAATATTTGCTGCCCTTCCACCTTAGAAATGAGAACCAAGAAAGAGGGATTTAAGGATTTAATAAAGGATCTAGGAAGAGAAATTTAAGGATTTACACAGCATCATTGTTTATTAGTAAACTAGTAATCAAGTTAATTAATTTAACTAGATGTGAGGAGAGTGTAACAGTTAATTGGAATATGACAGTCAATTTCAGGCATATTTTATGATAAACGTGATAGCCAGGTCCTTTTTGAGTTTCTTAGGAAGTCCATATCCTAATAAGATACTAAAAATTAGGTCCTAGTTAAAAGGGACTGGAGTTCAGTTTTCTATTGACTGTTTCTGCTTTGGTTGATGTCTTGCCCTCTATATTAGTACCTTTCTCCTTTCTCTCCATTAACAATATTTCCTGTTTCATCTTAAAAAAATGCAAATCCAAATTTGAAGACACTAATGAAAGTATATCACATATTCATATAATTTACCATTTCTCAAAATAGAAAATTTACAGGAAATTCTTGTGTTTATCATTCATTTCTACAGAATATGTTGTCGTCATACCACATCTCCTAAACTCTTTCTTTTCTTTTTTTTTCCCTCAAATAGTAGTTCCTTAGACTCTTTAACAAAGGAGCATCAAATCAACGTAGATAATTTAAGATGGTTACCAGTATTAAACGGTTCTTATGATACACGCAGAAACCATGGACATTAATTTGTGGAGCTTCTTTCAGAAATCCAATTGTTGTTACCACTGCACCCTGTGCATTTAAATGAAAATCAGCAACAAATATGACATTCAGCATAATAATAAGCATAAGCATCTACCTCGAAAAATACAGGGCACAGATGTAAACATTTTTAAAATACATGCTGTCAAGCCCAAACACAATGGATCTCACAAACTAATGACTCCAAACACACAAACCTTATTTGGCCCTCCCAACAACTAAACATGTATGGATCAGGAAAAAAGAAAAGTTGAATGGATTCAGAGCAAACACAAATATGAATTAGGCACTCCACATAACAAATTTGGATAAAAAAAGAAGATTTATTAAGATAAGAAGGAAGGAAGAAGAAAGAACAAAGAAAGGATGATAAGACATCCTAGTTGTGACAAGCGATAGTGTGCAGAACATCATAGAGAGATACAATACATAAAGAATGTGGGATCTTAAGGGCCAAAAATAATAATCTCCCACTTCCAATCCACAAGACTAAAATTAAATTTATAAATCCAATGGATTCAAAGGAAACTACAAACAGCACTCCATAACAGTTTAAAAATTCATACAACCTCTATACATCCACCGGTTTGAGGTTTGTATAAGATGAACTCCGGGAACTTGAGATCATCAGCAACATTATGATGTCCAACAACTTGTCCACGCAATATTATTTTGAAACTTTCTGGAAGCCGCAAATACAAGATGGACAGGTATGCCTGCATATAGGACAAGTGCTTGACTTAACCAATATCATCATATACAGGGTCTGCATGATACAGAACAAATAAAGAGAAACACTGGGTATAAAAGGAAAATGAAATTTTAATTTTTTTTCACATTTCTTTTCTATTATACCATTCTACTTGATTAGTTTTTTGTAGTTAGTAGATTTCTTAGATTGACAAATTCCTATTTTAATTGTATTTTGACTCTGTTTAGTCAACTATTTATACGATTATTATATAAATAATGAGATACTTATTTAATAATTAAGATCTAAAATCTTTACTTTTGATCTTTGTTCTTTTAGTATTATTTTCAAGCTCTCTTTATCCTACATCAGTTGGTGCCAAAGCATAGTTTTAATTCATAATGCTATTAAAATTTCTTCACCCAAGCTTTACGACACTACCGCCAAAAAGAACAGTAGCCTCACAACACCAGAAAATGGCAACTGGCAAGTGTCAATATTTGCGAAAAGCCAGCCAACACCCACCACCTACTTCACCAACACCAGAAATCACAAATTGTTTCTTCCCCACAGGTTGCAAGCCACCAAATCCCTTTCAATTCATCTGACTGGCAGCTAAACCACAGAATTATCACTGCCTTGCCAAAACTCTACCTTACGACCCACATCCACAATCACCAAAACCAATCTAGAACCAGCATCTTCAATACAGCTCATAGCCCGAAGCCCTACATCCAAAGGTTATTGACGATACTCATGTGACTAATGCAGTGAAAGCAGCATGTGAAATCCAACGCAAGCTGTTTCTGTAGCTGATACATCATTTCACCTGAGCCATTTTCTAGAGCTGAGACAATTGGGAGTGAATCCATTTTCAAGCAAATCTTTTTGTTGAATTTGAACCGAAGCTTTGGCAACTTTATGGTACAATTTAGGAAAAGCTGATACAGAGTTTACTTTATAAGACTAAATTTTTTCTACTCTGAAAGTTAAAATTATTATCTCCAGTTAAATTATTATCTCCTTTGATTAAACAAATATTTTTCCTTCATCTTGCCCATAGTTATCCTTAAAAACAAATTCAGCCTTGATATAGCAATTCTCTTTCCCTTAGCCTTAATATTGTTTAACTATGGACGAGAGAAAAAAAAGGAACTAAGTTCTAACATCTACATTCAGCCACCAGAAAAAGTTCTTGAGTTTCATTTTCACCCTGTCAAGCAGTTTGAACTTCTATCATTCGAAGAATAACCTTTTCAGCATTATCCTTCTTTTGATTGTAACCACTCTATTCTGTGGTAAAGTAACTTAGATCCCACACCCAAGTCCTGCAACTTTAAGTCATGGCTGAAGAACCTGCGTCATGTTTTGTCCAAATTTATTCTATTCTCATTTAATTCCTAAATCTTTGTTGAAGCTTCATAATTTATATATATTATTGATTCAACTTCATTCATATCCTCGATTGAAAATGGTCCGGAATTTGAATGTTATTTTCATTCAAAGTTGTATCCTATTTGTACTGTATTCTTATTTCTATCCCATGAAATCACAATTTGATCTGAACTTAACATTAGTGATTATAAGACTTTCAAGCTTGCTGTAACTGGAATTGAATAATATATTTGATGAAAATTCTGAATGTTGTGAAATCACCCACACTATGCACACAAGATAAAATAAAACAAAAAGAGGAAAAGAAAAAAAGAACTTTGACATAGTCCGTCAATGTGCTTACTCCATAGAGTCACCTGTGTTCACCATATAAAGAGCTGGCTCTTAAAATATGAC